ATTCGATATCGTTTGGAAAATGCTCTTTCAATATATTTTTACCCTTACCCTTCCCGTCCTCAGATCGCCCGTAAATTATTTTTCCTTTTATTTTTATAATATTCCCCTCCTTTTCTAATGAGATTCATTCTACTATAATGTATTTTCACTTTTCATTAATTTTAAAGGCTTCTGCACTGGCCTAATTGCTCAGGTTTGAAATTGGGAACTCTTTCAAGGATTTGTTCATGTCTGATATTTGCGCAATTTTCCTTCAATACACCTTACAATATATTTGTACAAGTCAGAATTTGCGCAAGTAAACTGTAATGTGTGTGGTTGACATAACATTTGTAGCTTTTATTGTGACTCATGTTTACCCTTAAAGCTTGGACTTGCTGTTTATTATTGTAATATTTTATAATTAAATAAATAGGTCTCCATATGTGTAGTCGGTAAAAACAATGTAAACGTGATAAATACATGAATATTAAAATGAAACTAATATACCCGGATTTACTACGCGATTTTTTATTTTTGACTATAAACTACATACTCCCGACGTTTCATCTCGTCTGCCCGTGATCACGGTTACTGTAAAGTAACCGTAACGAAAATCCGAAAATATTAGTTTCATTTAATTGAGTAATTGTGAAAATCTTAGATCTCATTTCATGAATATTGTCTCTTAGGTACGAAGAAATCATTTTATGTACTTACATATATATTAAAGTTTGGATATCTTGACAATTTTTTTAATTATTTCATCATTAGGCAACATCTGACATCCTCTATGTAAAATACATACGCTCTTCTCTTACATGCTAAGAATTATCTGCCGTTGTATTAGAACAGTTTCGAAAATTCAAATTGACAAATCAAGTAAGAGCTTGTTTTTTTACAAAAGAAAACAATAAGGAGATAAAGAATCATATTTTTGTTTAATATTCTTAGTAATGATATGTATAATTGTTTTGAAAACATAAACGTTTTTCTCTACGCCGATGACATGAAAATTTACAAAGTTACAAAAGAACGTGGGGACTGTTCGAATCTACAAAAAGACTTAATATACTTGGGACACTATTGTATCATTAATGGTTAACATTTAAACATTGATAAGTGCCATGTAATTACATTTTCCAAGAAAAAAACTCCTTTTTCTTATGATTATCATATATTTGGTAATCATCTGACTAGGGCTACTGAGATTAGAGACCTCGGGATAACTCTAAATCTGGCTTACATTTGGAAGAAAAATTGAGAATATTGTTGCGGGAACATACCAAATGTTAGGTTATATTTTTCGTCAAGGTATTGATTTTAAAAATATATTAACTTTTGATTTACTCTATAATAGTCTCGTTGGATCCAAATTAGAATTTACGTCTTTGTGTTTGGAATTCACGTTATATGAATAGTATTAAAATATAGAAAATCTTCAAAATAATTATTTAAAAAGGTTAATATACAAGTTTGACATCGATGCTGTTAAAATTCTCAGCTACGATTCTTTGGAGAAGCGATGAAAGGGATATTTTATTTTTATTTAAGATTTTAAACTTCATTGACTCCGAATATCTACTGAATAAAATTCAACTTAATTGCTCTCGTCTAAAACAGACCTTTTGTGTTCCATTTCGTAGAACCAATTATGTACATGTATCAAAAATCGTTTTCTCGTCAGATCCTGTAATAATTATAATCATTTGTATAAAGCACAATCTTTAATAATTTAACGTAAAATAAGATTCAGGTGCACTTCTTTTTATCATAATTATTCTCCTATGTTTATTTATTTTTTTTTGTTTTGTTATCTTTATAAATAATTATTTTAGTAAATTGTTTTTTAGATATTCCTTGCTAATAATGTTCTTGGTATGTTCCTTGTTGTTTTTTTCTTTAATTATTATTATTTTTAAAAACACATTCCATGTCAAAATAAAAGTGGAAACTGTTTTGGCGAAATCGTTTTTATTCTACCGAAATAATTTACTGTCCTATAAACTGAATATTTTCCCTTAAATAAATCAAACATTTGATTTTTACTTATAATGATTTTGTTTTAATATCTCTTAAAAGCATAACCAAATCCTTTCTACAACTAGTTTCTTTGGGCTAGAAGTTTCCATCTCACATGATTTCTAATATAAGATTAAAATTAAGACAATGAATGACAAATAGATAATGAGAATGTAGGAAAGTCCATTGTGAATCATTCGGAGCAGAAAAAAAATGATAAAAGATAACAATAATAAATACATTATTATTTGATGAGTAATTCTCAAATCTAATAAATTTCTCATGTCTACAAGATTACAAGATATGAAGTTGATTTAGCAGATACTTTAGTAGGTATTAACCAGGTCTTGACACCAATATACAGGGTGTCAAAAATGATCACGTCCCGTGACACAGGAGTATGATGAGCTCGAGATCTATCAGAAAATCACAATTTGACCTCAGTAAAAATATCACGGTTTTCGAGATATTCGCACTTTTAAATTTTTTTTTAAAATCGCTACCTTGTGTCGGATTTTCTGCTATTGTTGCCTGGAATAGCTTCGGATTGTATTTTTTTTATTGTTCTTATTTATTCTGTTGTTCTGTTTATTGTTGTATATAACTTATCCAAATATCAGAATTATTATTTTAACGAGAAATACTTTAATTTCAAATTGGTTGTTTGTAAAGTAAGTTTACGATCGAGCTGTTTACGTGATAACGTCTTATTGGTGATATAAGTTTTTGGGAAGTAAAACATTCAACGAAAACTTAACCGCACGAGAAAATCTCCATTCGTTTGTATGCCGTTAGAGTGAGAGAGACGGAAGATCGGTCCACTCACTTGAACGCTATGCCTGCCTCCGCTCGTGAGGATTCCGCGTGACAAGTTTCACGGAATGACTGGCAGCGCTCGAGATGAGACGGGAGATCGGTCCGTCTCTCTCTCTCGTTATACCTGCGAACGCGCTCGTGAGGTTTTGGTGTGACACAAGTTTCTAAACATGTCACCCGACTAAAACGATTTTAAAGACGTTATCACGTCAAAAAACGTCGTTTTACTGTGGCTCGTGACCTTGTGAAAAGACAAACACTAACTTTGACTAACTGGTGTGAAAAAAACTGTATGACACCGAGTTTGCAAATAATTTTAAAAAGTTTTCTTCTTAATACTGATTCAGACATGGTAAAACACTAGTGAGTTCTTTTGACAAAAACTTTGACATTTAATTGTTTTTATTACAATTAGCACAAGACATAAAGGAATGTACTACCAGACTAGAAGGACGATTCAGTGCAGGTACAGAGTGCAGGTGCAGGGTGCAGGGTGCAGGGTATAAAAGGCGACCGATAAACCAATCACGCGCCGGCCCTGGGCTCATATTCTATCGCATCGCATCGCATCGTATGCACTAAAAATACCCAAAGGCTAAGAAATTTACTACCTGGCATTCAAAGAATAAAATTAGGGCGACATAACAATCAAGATTCATTATCTCCAATTCATTTTTATTACTGAATTATTAATAACAAATTGTACTGTGCTAAGTTCAAATAATTGTATCTTTTTTGTTTAAAACGAATTTGGCTAATGGGGCCTTTATTAAGAAAAAAATAAAATGTCAAAGTTTTTGTCAAAAAACTCAGTAGTGTTTTACCACTCCTGAATCAGCATTAAGTAGGCCACTTTTTAAAATTATTTGCCCAGTCGGTGTCATAGTTTTTTTTTTCACATCAGCTAGTCAAAGTTACTGTTTGTCTTTTCACAAGGTCGCTAATCACAGTGAAACAATTATTTTGGAAATTAAAGTATTTCTCTGTTAAATAATAATTCTTATATTTGGATAAGCTATTCAAGATGTCAGAACAATAAAAAAAATTACAATCCGAAGCTATTCAAGGCAACAATAGCAGAAAATCCGACACAAGATAGCGATTTAAAAAAATATATAAAAGTGCGAATATCTCGAAAACCGTGATATTTTTACTGAGGTCAAATTGTGATTTTCTGATAGATCTCGAGCTCATATAACTCTTGTTACTGGGACGTGATCATTGGGACACCCTGTATGTATAAAAAAAACAAAAACATTGCAATAATCATAACATTTATTTAATATACATTCAAGATTAATATATAATATAAGAAAAATATCACTTAATATACAACATTTAATACACAAACAGTATAGTCTTCTCTGGTTCCTTGTATCGGCTGTTTCTGAACTCAGTAAACTTTATTACTTTGATAGGCTTTGGCTCTCCAAAGCCTATCAAATTTTTCCTCTGAAAAATTCGGTATTCTCAGTCCTTATACTAACATTTAGATATATTTTTCTCCAATATAGACACCAATACATAAAAAACTACTAAGACATTACATTTTTTATAATAAATTATACAAATATTAAATCTCATAATTTATAAGGCCAATAATGGGGCCGCTGTTTCAAACATTTAAGTGTAATTAAGACTAACATAAAAAAAAACCACAAATATATAAGTGAATGCAAGTGACATAAATAAACAATTATGTTCATTAATTATATGAGAAAAAAAAATTAAATTTTTTCAATATATCACCAATAGATCAAAGAAAACAGATATTTTATTAACAAGCATTAAAATAATTATAGAAAACACTTACACTAACACATTTAATGTTTAAATATTAATCTTTAACCGACTTCCAAAGAGAGATTGTGTGTTTCAACATTTACATCGTATTCTCATTTGGTATATAATTGAAACTTACAATCTTCAAAGACATTACTATTATTTGAAGTCGGTTATTACATTTCTTATATATATATTTAATGAAAACAATTATATACTTGTAAAATAAACAAGTTTTTGGTTATTTAATTTGTTGAAATCAGATAATTATAATAATCTTTATTGATATGTTTGTTGACCGATGTAGTATATATGTATCTTGTTTTCAATGAGGGTAGGCGTCAGTTTTTATATTTGTATTTGTCAGCGGATGAACTAGAGCCTCCGCTTTGCTCCGTATCTCAGTTGGCCGTCCACTGAAACAATGTAAAATATGTAAACATATGTACATAGTAACACATCAACAAATAAAAACTGGGATTTTATTTAAACAAGATTTAATTTAAATAATAAGACCACATTAAAGGTCATAAAAAGTAAAGTATTTTTCACTTTAAATTAACAAAATAAATGAAAATTAATTATAGAAGTATTAAAACTCACTTTTTCAAATAATTGATGTACTACAAAATATTGATATAATAAATGCATATTTTAAGTTCCTTTTCATAAAAGGGTTGTAAAAATTTAAATATCACAATGGTTGTTTCAATAATTAGTCAATGATTAAAGTTTTGAGCTGATATATTTTCTATATTAATTACTTTTAAGGTAATTTTTTCACAATTATCAATAAATTAAATACTAAATAACTACTATCCTTAACCTTAATATATATATAACTATAGTAATGTACATTACCTTCAAGTTTGCTCCGCCAGCGCTGTTTAGTTCCTGTTCCCTCCTTTCCATTTCCTCAGATCGTTGCTGAGCTCGTCTCACTCGCTCCGGATCCTTAACTCCTCGAGCTGCTTCCTCATTACGACGACGCTCTGCAGCCTCCACTTGCTGCCTCCTTCTGGTTTCCTGATATAACATTAAAAAAATATATTAATAAGTTATTTTCGTGTAAAATGTAAATATATGTTTTTGGAAAATTATGGAAGGCACTTTCAGTGAATTTGATAATATGTAGTTGACTTTGGAGTTAAAGGTTTTTGTAAATGGTTTAAAGAGACGAATTTGAATCAACTGAATAGACAAACAGACATTCATTATATAATTTAGATGTAACAAAATATTATATTTCCGTGTAGATATTGATGTGGACAAAAAATATCGTTATATATAAGCAAGCTGTTAAAGATCAAAGACAATATTTAAAAAGATTCAAATATTCATCATTGTCGTTCATTGAAAAAGATAGAAATTAAAAAAAGATTTAAAAAGTTAAAAAATATGGTGGGATACCATTTTGATTCTTTTAAATATGGCTTTCATGCAAAGATATGCACAGTATATTCAGCCATTCATATAGAATGGATGTATATTACAAACTTGAGAACTTATTACATAGCTTTACAATGAATGGATGCTACTCTTAAGAAATAAATTACATTTTTAAAGACTTTTTATTCGCTCTTGGACCTTTCGCAATCAAATAGTTATTTTCCTTTCATTATTCCTCTTTAGCAAAGAACATGCATTACTATGTGTTTTAAGTTTATAATTAGTTTAGTGACAACGGCTCACTTTGCATTATTAGAGGAAATTATTATTCTATTATATACAAAAATATGTTTTGTACACACTTTAATTACTTGTAATAATGGTACAGATTAAAAATAACCACAATTAAATATTTATTAAAGGCAATATTTTCATTTCCTTATAAAAATATATAGTTACATGAATGTCTGTGTGTTTTTATTCTCTTAAGATTTTATATACATACCTAATATATAAATTGTTTAAAAATCAGTGAATGTCTGCATGTCCTACTCTTAAGAATGTTCATATCAAATACTTGTGTTATGTGAAAACTGTACGATGTAAGTATTATGAGTACTAATTCTCTGATTAAAAGAAAATTTTGTTTGATTATTATTTAATTTCTTCATGTGTAAGACATGTGTCAATGGCTCTTTTACATATTTAATTCCTGCTCGCCCGGAATATTGTAATAAATCTTCTTAGTAAATAAAGCAAGCAAATAGCATATAGATGAACATAATAAACAATAACTATACTATCTATCACACATATTTTTAAAAACTATTATTACACAATATACCTATATACTATTGGAAAACTAGCTCAGCTTAGAACTAATTTTCAGCTTGCACATGCTAACAACACAACACTATAAAATAATAAAAGATAGAAGCTTGATAAATGTACTTTAATATTAATAACAATTTTACATGTGCTAGTTACAAATGTGTCATTCCGAAAAATAAAAGAATGTTCTGTTATTATTCATTTAAAGAATATGTGTTTAGTTAATAATAATTTCAGAAGAATATAGTTAAAATTATATATAAAAAGTTATAATTATAAAAATAGCAGAAATTGGAAAGACTACACAATATGTCAGAAAAATTACATTTCTGATCCATATTTATAGCAAAAAAATATATATAAACAATATTATAAAACAAAGAAGCTAAATCCTGAGCATAAAATAGCGTAAAAGCAAAAAATATATATAAATCGTATAATTATCTTCAAACCATAAAAGCGAATTTTTGTAACTATTAAAAATATCAACCTGAACCTGTTAATAGCGATTTTAATTAAGTAAATCACTCTCTAAAAATATAATTTGCATATTTTATATAAGCGCGGAACGAAATAGCTATTTATTTGTAAAATCCAACCCACCGTAGTTACATTAAGTGTTTGAACTTACTGCATCTGGAGTTAGCACGTCTGCCGCTGAAGGCTTACAGCAGGATGTAAATATTCCCATTTTACGGAAAAATATACTTATATTCTGAATTTTCTATAAATTTAAGTCATATTCCAGTAACTCCTACAATCTATATCCAACGTTATCAATATTGTCAACAACAAAAAATGACAATTGACAATAATTCGTTCTACGTACAAAAACTTACACCGTATTATATTATTTACAAATCTGTAAATGGAAAAAAAAGAAAAGAAGTAACAAAATGTCAGACGCAGATTATTTGCTATAATCTAAGTTAATTTAATTTAATTAGATGAGTAGCATATTATTCTGTATTAACTTTTAATAAGGCAACATAAATTATCTGAATTAATAATAACATACAAGTATCATTATTCTCAACTACGACAAACATCGATATAACATTTACATTTGCATTTTATACTATAAGCACTAAATTACTACGTTAGCTAGTAAAAAAAGGAACAAACCATCCTTTTCCATAAAATATTATTAATATTTGCCATTTTCCTTTTCAAAAGTCTTAAATTTGTTTTCAAAATATGGATTTCAGAAATATAAGATGTGTTACAGGGCACAAGCTCTGAATTTCATAAATCGATAATCTCAAACATTACCAACCTAAAAAATAAAATTCTAATGATTACTTTTGCCTTGTTTACCTACTTTGTTTTATAATTATTGTAAAATGCAATGGAAAAATAGCTTTTCTATGATTTTTTATTAATAAAGAGAATAAATCTGTGTACAACCATTTTATCGATACTATGGACTAGTTCACTATATGGCAACAATCATATGATAAAATTCTGTCGATAAAACCTTCATTGTACAACACTAACGCAAAAGTACTTGCTTTAGGGACTGTCGTGGAAAATTAGATTTAATAAAAATTGCGCTACAAAATATGCTATCACGCGTAGCTTTGCGTTCAGGTATGTATATTTTTATCCGTATATAAATTTTAGTTGCGAAAGTTTTAAAAACATCAACCCTTGATATAGGTGGTTTATGTAATCGGGATTGACAAGTGAAGATGTTCGAAATTTGATTTTTATTAGAATTTCCGTCTATTTAGAAGCACGGCATTCAGGCTTTATTAAAAAATACTTTATTAGTAAATATATTTCTGAAAATAAAAAATAATAATTATAAAATTAACCTAGTCTTGTCATATAAGTGCGATGTTTCTGCAAATTGACTTTGCACATTGAATCTTTAACACACCTTTTTTTATAGCATTATTCGAATATGGAATTCTCAATAACTGAAGTAAATGTTTTTTTTCAGCTGCGGCACGACAGTCCACAGCTCTCGTCCGCACCTCGGCCACGGAATCCGGTGTCCGTGATGAGAAGAACTTCCCTCGCCCCGTGAGGGGAGAACCCCCGAAAGTCAGACTCGGCTTTTTACCTGAAGAATGGTATATTTTATATTATTTAAACATCTCATAAACTTTGAAAAAACCTTTACTATCATATTGTCAATTTAAGTTATATTACGGTTATTTCCTTAAAACAAAGTTTTAAAGAAGAAAAAAACTAAATAAACATAATATCTGGTTATTTACGGCCTCTAGGACGGAATAGAGTTCACCTGGTCAGCTATACATATATTACTAATTCCGAAATTAATGCCCACGAAGTCGCGTGCAAAAACTAGTTAGTAATAAAATTTATGAGAACTAATTAGTAATTACACACATTGACATTTCCAGGTTCCAATTCTTCCATTCCAAAACTGGTGTTACCGGCCCCTACGCATTCGGTGTAGGTCTCGCTACATATCTATGCAGCAAGGAAATCTATGTTATGGAGCATGAATACTACACGGGGCTCTCCCTCATACTTATGGTGTACTACGGTACTACTAAGTTCGGACCCAAAATTGCTGCTTGGTTGGACAAGGAAGTTGATGTAAGTACTTATAAATAATAAGTCGTAAGAAATAATATGTATTTTAGATTTACTACTATTTTTTACCTCAATCATGACAGTTTTTCATGTAAATTCTGCTTATTAGCCTCTGTTAAAGTAAGACAGGAATGAAATTTTCTTGTATAAAGGTTCATATAGTTGAAAATTTCTGACTTATAATAGTATTTCATATAGGAATGTTATTATAAATTCACAGGCTATCGAAAGCGGCTGGAACAAGGGCCGAGAGGAATGCCTTAATGACTTGAAGAATGCTATTGAGAGTGAAAAGGATGCTCAGTGGCGTGCCAACGGTCAGGAGCTACTGATAGCTGCCAAGAAGGAAAATGTCCTCTTGCAGCTTGAAGCAGCTTACAGGGAACGCATGATGATGGTTTATGGAGAAGTTAGTTCACATATTAACTTAACATCTTGTTGTACACAATAATACTGTTAAATTATTTGGTTAAGTAGAGAGAGGAGCTTGGACAGTGGAGGTGAGCGTTTAACGCGTTAGATAGGGGTCTCTTAAACCTACACTTGGGTTGCAAGTCCCAGGCACTGTTGAAGCTCCTCTCCCTGCAACTATGAACTTGGCACCTGCACAATGAATGCTGAGATGTTTCATCTCGTCTCTAATCATTGGTCTCGTTTTATCATAAATATATATCAAATCAATCAACCAATTTTATCATAAAAAAGTCAGTGGTGGCCTAGAGGTTTTAACCTCCTGCCTGCCTCTTATGCATGAGGACGAGGATTAGATCCTGGCAAGTACCAATGTGATTTTTCCCAGTCATATGTACTATCTAAGAGTATTTATACATCACTGATTAATGCATTCCCAAGGATGGTTGATGTCAGGCAAGCGGCCGGTCATAAAACAATTATCTAAAACTATTCATAACATGTAAGGCAGACCCTGGGCAAAGCTGGGGAATTGCCAGATAGAAGTAGAAGAAGATATATATCATTAATGATATGATTATTCCAGGTCAAACGCCGTCTTGATTACCAACTGGAGAAAACCAACCTAGAGAGACGCATCGCTCAGAAGAATATGGTTGACTGGATCGTGGCCAACGTCACCAAGGCCATTACACCCGACCAGGAGAAGCAGACCCTGGACCGCTGCATCGCAGACCTGGCCGCTCTGGCTGGGAAGTAGAATAATTATTTATAATTGTTAATAAACAAGAATCATAGTTTACTCTGTGTCATTATTTGTGTTGTATGTATGTATTTATTTATTACTTTTAATACCTTGTTATACCGAGTTATGTCACATTATATATGGAAGGAAAGTTCTTTAAATACTTATGTAGTAGTATTAATGCAGATTTATGAATGAAAAAATCTTTGCGTTTCGATATTCGGTAAGCTAGACAAAAGTGATAATTTAACTTGGGCATTTACTATAGCACTTGGGAAATGTTAAGGTTATTATGTACTTAAATTTTATATACCTTAAATAGATAATCTGATTATAAAAACATTGAATGTTACTCGAAAACACTCGCTGCATGCGAAACCAGACTCAGTGGCGTCGTAACGCGTTACGTTACGTAACGGTTTACTCTCTGATAAGAAGTTATTACTTTAAAACAGGAAACGCTGCGAAGTGTGACAACGAGAACTTGTAGTAGTGTTACATGTAATAATATAGTATTTATTAGGGTTGAGTTTTTTGAATATTTTCCAGTGAAAATTCGTTATGTCACAATAACTTCAACAACATTCTAAAAATGAAGTATGGTTAATATTTGCTTGTAATGGAAGTTAATATGTGAAGTAACACGAGCGTCTTAACAATACTAGAAAGTAGAAACCGAAATATGTTTTTGATAATAATTGAAGCGTATATTTTAGTACCAAAATTCTAGTATTACGACGTGTGTATTGACGTCGAATGATGTTTCAGTTGTCGTCACTAGATGGCGTACGAACAGAACGTACCCAGCAAATAGTATAACCCGATATTCATAAGAAGCTATTATTTTCTTTTTTCACCTTTTTTATCTTATGGACTATATTATTTTAATTATATTTCCTACAAAGTTTTTTTTTAGATCCTTACAAAAGGTGCGAACACTGATCGTAATATGATGAATGTTAGCAATTTTTTTAATGAAACATCCGTAGAAATTTTCCGCTTTGGACTTCACTATTTATTGCGTTTCAAAGATATTGATTGGTAAATAAATGAAACTAATATTATTCGGATTACTATGCGTATTTTACTATTAAAAAAACTACTCCCGAAGTTTCTGTTACATTGCAGCAACCGTGATCACGGACTAACGAGATGTGATTGTCGAGAGTATCTAGTAGGGGAGACTGTGTCACAGTGGATAACGTACAATAACATAGTATATGTTGCACTCACGCACACAAAAAAAAACCTTTATTTGCCGCTCGGTTATACCTGTTCGCGAGGCACAGTAGTCACTGGCGCCCCCCGAAACGGGAGCATGCGCTGCCTCACTCTGGACCTTACATAAGTACCTACCTAATCTATTTTTTTACGAGTTTTTTAAATTTATTTATTTCCTAATTGAATAAATAATTCACTTAGATGTTTTTGCAATGGCGAATACTTGTCATATCTTACATCCGTTTTAATACATATTGATTTGTCCTCAAGATAGATAGTTTTTTTTTGTATATTCTTTTTCTATAACTGTCAATGGGTCACAGTGAATCATTCTGTATTGGGTCACAATGAACTGTTCATCCATTGTAACTCCACAAGGTAAGATTTATTTTACTTTATGTTTTAGGTAAAAATGCCTTGTAATGTAAGTAGTAAGAAAGACTACTATCGGATTTCTTACTGAAGAACAGATAAGTAACGTTCTAAAATTTATTTCGTCATCGTCATCAGCCTGTCAGAGCCCACAGCTGAGCAGAGGCCTCTTTCTCACATGGAGAAGATTTGAGCATTTACCACCATTCACCACGCTCGCTCAAGACGGATTGGCGATTTCAAACTTATAGTTGTGAAATTATAAGTCCAGGTTTCCTCACCATGTTTTCCTTCACCATCTGTCAGTGATGTCTAAATACTCTTAGAAAGTACATATGACTCGGAAAAATCACATTGGTACTCGCCATGATCGAACCCGCGCCCTCAAGCACGAGAGGCGGGCCTTTTGACCACTAGGCCACCACCGACACTAAAACTTATTTCGGGTGGCTAAAAATAAGAGCCATTGCTAGGTCGTCTTTCAATCGCTATAATGTTGGTTTGTTCTTCGATAATTTAGAAAATGTCATGTCATTATTTTGATGTAAAAGACTGTGTAGAACCTTGTACAAGTAGAAATATTATAATAATATGAAAATTGATGTTTTTTTAATATTTCTTTGCTATTGATCCTGTGTAGTGATCCAAAGTGACCCGTGCCCGGGCCACAGTGGATCATTTCTATTTTTTTAAAGTGCCTATATCTTGTAAATATGTATAACACACGCAATGAAATGTCTCTTATTTTAGACATTAGATATTTGCATTATCATTTAATTTTAAAGATGTATCATTTTGTCATAAACTACGGAGTAACACTTCTTTAAAAAAAATGATTCACTGTTACCCAGTCTCCCCTAATCAGAAAATGTTTGTTTCATTTAAATGAACACTCGCTAAAGTCTTAGATGTCATTATCAGTATTTTAAAATCGAGAAATTGCTGTGTTGAATTAATCTGTGTCCTTGAGTTTTCCTTCGACTCATCTTGGTGGAAATGGAATAGAATGTATTCTTTATGGAAAGTTTGACAAGACGATAGTTTTGTTAACCTGTTTAAACTTTACGGAAAATTATTCTTAAGTGAGCTCTTTATTGTGAGTTCAAACTATTTCCTTTTTACAAAGAATGCAATACCTACCTAATATATTTTTTAAATTCATTTTACATATTCGATTACCACGTGTGTGTAGTTATAACAAGAAATGTTTGTGTGTGTAGTTATAACAAGAAATATTTGACTGAAAAAAACAGATAATATGACACACTAATTACTAAATTATATTTTCGTCTAAAATTTGTTTCATATTTAAAAAATATATAAATACATATTGTTAAATATTTGATTTATAGCGAAACATTTTTTTCAAAAAAAGGTTGAATTTTCTTTACACGAAAAATGTTATAACTTTTTAAATCTCATAATTGATAAATTCTACACACTTCAAACATAAAACTGGGTTATCGTATAAAAGAAACACCAAAGAGTTGTTATATTAATGTATTACAATACAATATTACAAGACCAGTGATACGGTCGCCACTGAACTGGCTCTTAAAGCTCTTCACATTAGTTCTAATATCTCAAATATACAAAAGAACTAGAAAAACTAACACGATCAAACGTATACACGGAGGCGGGCGAGTATTGGCCCGTTCAGTACTTTGGCTGGTCACCTGATATGTAAAATGGAAGCGTCAAATAATCCACAGCGGCTAATAAAAAACAATATATATATAGTATCAAAAACTGCGCGTGTAAATTATATGTAGCAAATACTTTATTAAATAATAATACATTATAAAAAATATATAGTATATTCTCCTTACGACCTAAGTCTTTAACACGTAGAAAAAACTGTACGAACTTGTGTATCGTGACTTTACTTGTATTTGACATATATCCATCCGTCATTGTAGGTCATTCTATTAACCACGTTCCAATAATACACTTAACCTAAGTTATTGTTACTGTTGATTAACAATTATACAAATTAGTATTTGGTTTCGAGACTTCTAAATATTAAAGACGTAATTAATAAACGAAATTATTTGTGATAGTAACAATCTCGATAGTTATAACAAAAAATTTGTGCTCAATTATTGCCATAGTAGAACATAGACAACAAAGTAAAAAAAAAAACTTGAAAACAAAATGGCACATACGTAACAGAAATTTTCAAAATTACGATAAAACAAAATCATTTCCTCTTTTAGACTTGAAATAAAAAAAACAACTATAAAAAGAAAATAAAAATAAATAAACTTATTCTAGATGTGAACCTATATATAAAATCCCAATCGGAAAAAAATACGAACGGTGCGTTAAATAATAAGCTGACAGATAAAGCACCATATCAAAAAATCCAACATTTAACAAACAAAAAAACACATGAAATACTTATATATCACCAAAAAACGAGGGAAAAGAACTAAATTGGCTTGACCTCAAAAAGTACATAATGTTTTAAAAACGATATGCATTTCCCTCCAAAAGTGATATAAAAGTATTGCATATGTCAAAACGCATCTGTCATTTGAATTTGTCGTTTATTTATTTGTTATTATCGTTACAAAATCGTGCATTTCTTCTTTCTGCTCCTCTGTTCTGATTTAATATGGATCCTCTCTGCTTCTTGAAACCTCCTCACCAATCTGACTAACTCGTGGAATGCCTGGTCTACATTCATTCTCGCCTTCGCGCTACACTCTATGTAAGGTACTTTTAGTTGGCGCGATAAAGCTTGCGCCTCGTCCAGCGTTACCTTTATAATAAAAACAAGTTATAGACATATATTCTTATCAAAATAATTAATATTATCAACAATAAGATGTATTAAGCGAGTATTAATTTTCTATATGACTTTGGATATTTTATAATACTCTTATTAATAAAAAATCAAAAACGACATAAGTTACTCTATATGACATCACTTGTCACATGTTTCAAAGATCAGTCAGAACAAACAGACAGACAAAAATAAAAAAAAATCATTTTTTTGGTATATATATTTTTGGATCCAGCAAAACTATGTCAATTCATAATATATGTATTGTGCTAAGTAGCAAGACTGAGTGACGGAACCTAATATAATAAAGTGATCCATCTATACTTGACATCATATTATTAATTAACAACACCCACCAGGTATAAATAATACACAATATGAATTAAGCATACACAATAATTTAGTAAAAATTCAATTAATGTCTCAAATGTAGACTGCAATTTCATTTATCTATATATGTTACTAGCTTTCCGTCCTCAGCTTCGCCCGCGTGGAATTCGGTTATATCGCGTTTCCAAGAGAACCGTTCATAAGTCTGGGATAAAAACTATCCAATGTTCTTTCTCAAGGTCAAATCTATATCCGTACCAAATTTTATTCAAATCAGTTCAGTGGCTTAGGCGTGAAAGCGTAACAGACAGGCAGATAGAGTTACTTTCGCATTTATAATATTAGTAGGGATATACATAAGTGTGATTCGTACCACTCTCTGGTGTTCTAAGTCAGCTTTATTCCCAACCATGAGCATTGGAAACTCATCTCTATCCTTAACCCTGAGGATCTGTTTGTGGAACTTGAACAGCTCGTCGAAGCTTGCATGATCAGCTACAGAAAAGACGAGCAGGAATCCTTCTCCAGACCTCATGTACTGCTCTCGCATAGCCGAGAACTCTTCTTGGCCAGCCGTATCTAATACTGGAGAGGAATAAACATTTTCACATTAATATCATCATTTGTAATGTAGGTGCTTGACAGAGATTTCTATAAGATATAAATTAATAATAACAATAATAAAAAAGTTTTAAATTGGGCAAAAGTATTTATAAAGAAGATAATGTGTATCCAATTTTTTATAAGTTTTCTTAATGAAGATTTCTTCCAATACCAATTTTAACTTTCAACATTTTCTTGTATGATAAAAATATAATGACCATGTGTCATTCACATTACAAAGATGTGGTGTATGTGTGTTTTTCACTTGTGTAAAGTATTGAACTGATATTTATATATTATTTAAAATGTTTTAGAACACCAGAAAATTGTGATTCACCAAGTAACTATGATCCACAAATAAGTTTAGTAACCTGATACATGGAATTACTTTATTCTTGGCTTGTTTGACCACAACATGATCGTTTTTAATTGACTTACTCATAAAATTCATTTCAAACATTTGTCACTAAATATGTAAGTTTTTAATTTAGGACCTGTATATATTATACATATATATATATATATATATATATATATATATATATATATATATATATATATATATATCCAAAAATTTCATTTTAATGCTCCACCGAAAATTTCAAGCCTGACTGTACAAAGATAAAGCATCAAATTTCGCAAAGAAATCAAGTGTATTAAAGAAAATATTAAGTATGTAACATTTATATTTTAAGGAAAGCATTTTATTAAAGACTTCATAATTGTAATAAGAAAAGTAATTAAGGATATTTTGACATAAATCTGAAAATGAGTTTTCATAGTTTAGATAGAAAGAAAAGTATGCATCTTTCAGACAAACAATATTTTATCTATGACAGGACAGAAACAAAACAAACTCTTAGCATTCATTTGATTCACCATGTTGGTGCCGAGTCCATCGTTGTAGTGAGAGGAGTTTCAACAGTGACTGGGACTTGTGACCCAAGTGTAGGTTTAAGGGACCCCTTAACTAACACACATTATACGCTCACCTCCACCATCCAAGCTCCTCTCTCTACCTAGCACAATTTGAAATGAACCTACTAGGGCTGCCTTCAAAATTCTAAGAATGAATTGATATTAGTTCTGGACAGGCCCAAGTCTTTTAGTAGGTTGTAGACTAGAGAGAGCCACTTACTATCAAGTTTAGCGGGGATGTCATCTATAACACATTGTTTGGTGTAACTATCCTCGATGGTGGGGTCGTAATCAGTGACGAAGTAACTCTGAAACATTAAAAATCATACATTATACAAAAATACAGGCACAGCAACTCTTTATTTAAATATTCGGTCTGAAAAAAGTCAACAAATTCATTTTTTTTAGTAATAACATGTTTTTCATAAAATATTTAGCAATACATGATTGTAAGACGAAACTTCTCAGCATTCCATGGATTCACCGTGCGGGTGCCGGGTCCATCGCGTTGCAGGGGGAGGAGCTTCAACAGTGCCTGGGACTTGCGACCCAAGTGTAGGTTTAAGGGGCCCCTTAACTAACGCGCGTTATACGCTCACCTCCACTGTCCAAGCTCCTCTCCCTACCTAACCAAATTTGAAAAGAACCTACTAGGGCTGCCTTCGATGTACGTTCCAAGAAAGCATTAATGTGAGTTCTGGACAAGCCCAAGTCCTTTAGTAGGTTATAGAGAGATTTCGCTGTTATACCTCTCGCTCCCACCTCTACCGCGTACAAATATACTACGAACCTATTTCGAGTGAGTTCGTTTGTGAGCTCGTAATATTTGTTGACCTTGATGGTATGGTCTTTGGGGATGTTGGTTTCCCAAGGGACCGTAAGCTCTATCATCACTACGCGCTTTAAAATTCGCGAAAACAAAAATATATCCGGTCTGGAGGCCGACGCACAAATATCCTCGGGGATTTTATATTGTTTTTCATACGTGTCCATCATTATAGTCCAATCCGACGCCGCTTTAAGGATGGAGTAAGGCTTGACGTTTGATTTTGTAGCCCTAGTGCCTTCTCTCACAAAACCTACTGATCGTTCGTTTGTGGTTATTCCCTTTTGCGCTCTGGCTACCGAAAGACTAACCGCTTCACGTATGACTTCTAGAACCCTATCGTGACGACGCGAGTATTGACCGCTGTCAAGGAGTACCTTACATCCCACCAGCAGATGCTTAGCAGTTCCAACTGCCTTTCCACAGATATAGCAAGTTTTTTTGGTACTTTTACCCCATCTTACTAAATTACTCTGATCTGGGAGAGTCATCTGGAACGCATTGAGATAGAATTTTAGCAATGCTGGCGACCAATCATAAATTAAAGTGCGCCATTTTAATGCTAATGGGATGTAATTTATTTTCCTTGAACGTATGTAATATTAATGAAAAAACAAAAGTTATCTTGATCAAGGGAAAATTATTAGATTTGTCCATTTTATAATATTAGAGCAATATTTACATAAACATTTTTATATGACAATTAAAATGAATAATTAATCGACCTTGCAAGCTTATGAATATCTTGTTACGAGAGGTTGTTTGTTTAATTCCTGTTCGCATCTATGAATTTTTAATTATATATTTACTATTATAGTTTTTATTTATAAAATTAGTAGCTTTAAGTTCTTAGTATTAAATTCTTACATGAGACTTCTGTGTTCATACAAAATATAAAAGTCTTTTTCAGACACTGTTATATACATTAATTATATTTAAATAAATGTTGTGTGTAAAATGGCATATACTTTTTACTTACAAATTGGTAATATTGGAAGGATTTTAGGAGAATTTCCAGAAGGATATACCATAGTTAAATAGTTGTATTATATTACATTACATATTTACAATTTCCATGTGAAAAAATTGATTTTTACACAGAAATCTTTATGTTCCTATAAAATTGAATCATGGACAAATTAATGAAGAAAATGTAGTTTTCAATTATTTAAAGATAAGTTATTACTTGTGATGTAAAAAGCTGTAACATTTTTTGATTAATCGCAATGCAATTTTTTTTGAATTTGTATATTGGAGTGAATTGTCTAGAAGATATAATTAATATATAGAAAAACTATGCTGTTTTTAATTATTATATTTTATGGTTGTTACAAAACATTGTCCTCGAAGAGTTGTGTGGAACATATGGTGTATGATAGGAGGTAGGCGGTGTTAGCATTAGACCTTGGTCAATATATATCACTATTTATAAATATGACTACATCCCACCAACATCTGATTGATGTTACTTAAAACCATAATACATGTTAGCAACACATTGACTGTTTATGCGAAATGCTAAAAATAGATTAGCATACGTTTCTAAGGCATCGTAGAAACCAAATCCGGAAAAATACCTGTATAAATTGTATCGTGATCGCACTCTTTCCGACACCACCGCCGCCGACGACGACGAGTTTGTAGGTTTGTGCCTGGTTTGGTCTATCACCGGGTCTCGACATTTTTTTAAAACTTTAATTGAACACAAAATGGAAAGACAATTCACTTAATTCATATATTACACTAATTCCTAGCTTCTATGATGGTCACGGATGATTCAATGATTACGTTCCGCTTGACGCAGTTCTCACTTGGTTGAACGGAATGATAATATAAAAAAATATATAAAAGAAATTGCGTGTATTGAACCGGAGATCAGCTGAAATAAGATTGCCACTTTTAAAATGTTTCAAACTTGCAAATCTCTGATACATATTGTTAACTAATACAATAATAAAATTATATATAAAAATATATTTTTTAATTTCTCTATAATTTTATTAAAACACTACTTTATATGCTATTTTCCATTTTAGAACGACATTGTTGACACAATATAAAAACACATGTCAAATTTAAATTGTGACGGCTATATTTTGGACTGGGAGACTTATATACACGCAGAAGATAAATTCATAAACATTTTAAATTAAAATTCTTTAAGTGCGTCTAAAAAATGTTTTCAACGAGTAGTCAGAGAAAGTTTTGGACGTTTAATGATGAAAGCGAGTTGGCTCGACACCGAGAGAAACATAATTTGGAGTTCATCTCGAAACACGGTCACCATATAGACGAATATCAGAGATACAATTTCTTTTTATCACCAGACGAAGAAAGACTTCTATTAAAGCAATATGAGCTGCATTTGAAAGAGTTCTGCAAAAGATTTGCTCCCCCGATGCCAAAAGGTGTAGTCGGCACAGCTTTCCACTACTTCAAAAGATTCTATCTTTATAACTCATCAATGGACTATCATCCTAAAGAGATATTAGCTACCTGCGTGTATCTAGCATGTAAGGTGGAAGAGTTCAATGTTTCTATCGGACAGTTTGTAGCAAATATTAAAGGTGACAGAGAAAAGGCCTCGGACATTATACTTAACAATGAATTACTTTTGATGCAGCAATTAAACTATCACTTGACTATCCACAATCCTTTCCGACCAGTGGAAGGATTTTTAATTGACATTAAGACAAGGTGCAGCACTTTGGCAAATCCTGAACGCTTAAGAGGCGGGATTGACGAGTTTCTTGAGAAAGTTTTTTTGACCGATGCTTGTTTATTATATGCACCGTCTCAGATAGCTCTGGCCGCTGTTCTACATGCAGCTAGCAAGGAACAAGAGAATCTGGACAGCTACGTCACAGACATGCTATTCAGAGATGCCGGTTCCGATAAACTAGCAATATTAATAGAAGCCGTCCGGAAAATACGATCCATGGTGAAAATGGTGGAAAGCCCGGCTCGAGAACGTGTCAGGATCATAGAGAAGAAACTCGATAGATGCCGGAACGAGGAGAACAATCCCGACAGCGAGATATACAAGCGTAGGATGAGGGAACTCCTTGACGAAGATGACATGCCTCATAGTGGGTCTAACAGGATGTCATTGGATACAAGCGGCATATCACAAGTGCTGTCGCCGTCCGTCTCATAGATTATTTATCGATTTTAATGTGACTAATATACAGACATGAAATAAATTATTATGACCATATTATTAGTTGTGCTTTTTATTTAGCTATATGTACAACTCTATGTCATAGAAGTTCTGAACTATTTGCAAATATACAATACATATTTTTTTATGATTCTCTGAACCAATTCTATGTGATACAAATTTTTTTATAAACCAATAAAAAGTTTTTAGTTTATTTTATTCAGAATATAAGATTTTTAATTAGTGATTTTTAAATCTGCTTTGAGCATTTTATTCTTTATTTTTAGGTACATTTTTAGTCTAGACAAATTAGACCAAAAAATAAGAGTAAAGTTACCTAAATACCCACCAAGCTGAAAATCGGTAAGATTGTTTAAAATATCATTAAAACAAAATTTGAAAGTTCCCCATCTTTCCCCTGTAAGGAAAAAAAATTATTAAAGGTAAAAGAGTTTTTCGCGATTTTCAGCAAAACGGTAAGTTTTATCATAAAACTATCTCAGACAAAAATTTTAGACCATTAAATTATCTACAAAGAATTAACTAATACTTTTTTTTTCTACGAGCCAACGTTTTCGAGATATAGATTCAAAAAGTTGTAATGAGATTGATAATAACTTTGATAAGACAAAATGTTAAAGAAAAGCTATGACGAAATCCTTATAAAGTCAATTATTATTTGAAGAGTACACTTCATGTTAAAAGAGACTAGAATTGAAATCACGTTTTTTAATTCATTCTAGTACCTAAGGTCCTAAAATAGATGGATACTTTTTGTTTCAAATGTCTGAGTGGAAATTCTTTGGAAAATATATATGTCCAAGTAAAAGACTTAGAATGGTAAAAATATGTATTTATTTGTAAAATATATTTCGATTAATATACATTAACAATTGAGATAAATGCGGTAAATAATATATTAAGGTTTAACAAAGTACATCATTCCAAATATAGCCATTATTTGTTTTTTTTTTATTTCCTGTTCAGACACATTCAAGGCTTTTGGCAGAGTAGGAGTCTTTCGGCTTCATTCTGAAAAAAAAACGAGATTTTATGGAAATTACAGATTTGATTCCGATATTTGATTATAAATAAAATCAAGTGTTATTTAATAAAAAAATATTTTAAATTAATTCATTCGTGATTAACGTGTTCGGTTGTATTCAGCCGATGTCATGTAGAAGGAAGAAAATAAATGTAATTGATACAATTTTACCTGGATCATTTTGTAAATGGTAGATATAGCTTCTTCACTTCGGCACATCACGGGTCCCGATGATCTCTTGCCTCCCCAGCTCGATGTAAATGTTAGCTGAGCTTCCGTCATAGCAAAGATGGCGGCCAGAAGGAAGATGGCGACGAAAACCTTGTACATTTTTTATTATTATTACTGAACACTGTAGGAAGATTGGAAGCGCAGATGTTTCTGATGTCCCAGTACTTCGAGATTCACTTTTTATACTCAACTTACAAATGAAAGAAGCCTCTGTAATTTTAATTTGCCTCCAATTATCTAAGGGAAAATTATTCGTTATGTGTATGGTATCACAAACGGAAACACTGCGGTAAAATAAATAGCACATTAAAAACGCCTTCTTATAAATTTTCCAGAACTTTTACTAAATCAGCTGTTAGTTTAGTATTTTTTATGTAATTATTGTTAAGTAATAAAAAAGTTAGTTCAGGCTTTGTCTAAGTTTGCATACCTACGGACTGTAAAAATTTTTCATTCGTAAATTTTTTATAATATTAACTTAGGTTCTTGAATGAGAAACGGCGAACGCTTCCTGTGTAGTATTGATGCAAACTTAGATTAACTATACAGATTTCAATGCTTAACAATATATTTTGTACTAGCTTTCCGCCCGCAGCTTCGTCCGCGTGGAGTTCAATTATATCGCGTTTCCAAGAGAACCTTTCAAAAGTCTGGGATAAAAACTATCCTATGTTCTTTCTCAAAGTCAACTCTAGCGCTGTACTAAATTTCATTCAAATCAATTCAGTGGTTTAGGCGTGAAAGAGTAACAGACAGACAGACAGAGTTACTTTCGCATTTATAATATTAGTAGGGATGTAATGTTCAACCAAAGTGGAATAATCAACTGTTATTTTGTTATGAACCTTATCTTGTCAGGTTAGCTAAAAGCTTCTGAAAGACTGTCACTTTTATCTTTACTGATTGGGTACCATTAAAAATATAGGTAATGCAATTACTTCATTGAATCAAATATATAATTTAAAATAAATATTTTGTGTTATATGTAACATGAGTTTTAATTTTCGTAAACTTATTTAATAATAGTAATTGTAGGTAAGGTTTTATACTAAATGGTTTCCTTGTACTTTTTGGTTGGCCATTAATTTTACCTAAGTATACGAAATCAAGTATCAAGTATCAAAATATTCAAGTTTGGGTAATTAAGAAGTATTTTCTACTTTTGTTAATACTTGAAGTTGTCTTTTAATGATGCATCGCTTGAACAAGTTGTTGATTTTAGCTAAAAATTAGACTTTTGTTTCAGGCGGACTCATTTAGTTTACAACTAATATTAAATTTACCAGATAATATTGTAACCACTTTTTTATTTTTAGCCTATATTTTTATATTATATATAAACAAAATTGTTATACGACCTAAGTTAAGCTGATGAAGGTACATAGTAAAGCCAGTAATGGACTGTGTTTCAATAATTTTTAATTAATCTATGTACTTACATATGTACATATGTTAATTTAATTCTAAAGATAATTTTCATTGTCATCGAGAAAGCTGCTTTAAATCCGCACCAACAACCTAGTATTGTCAGTCAGAACCTCAAACCTTTTTTAATAAACTATATATTCCGTAAAATATTTAGGGAACAATTATATTTAACTTAGATATCTGACATATTAATGAGATCTGAGATTTTCGCGAGTCATTTAAATGAAACTAATATTTTTCGGATATACTACGCGCCTTTTTTTGTGATTATAAACTACATACTCCCGACGTTTCGGTAACTTTACAGCAACCGTGATCACGGACAGACGAGATGTAGTATATCCGCAAAATATTAGTTTCATTTATCTGTCATATTTTTTAAAATTTCGACTGCATAGTTTTTGACTGTCATTCTACCCGTGTATCTTTTATCTTAGTTTCTATTACACTTACATATATTCTTAAACCTGTAATTTAAACCTATTTTTGTAATGAGATCTAAGATTTTCAGGAGTACTCATAAAATGAAACTAATATTTTCGGATTTACGATGCAATTTTATTTTTGATTATAAACAGCATACTCCCGACGTTTCGGCTACTTTACAGCAACCGTGATCACGGACAGACGAGATGTGAGTGTCTATTTTGTGTTAAAATTATTTATTAATCTATTATATTAAAAATGCTATATATAACTCGAAAATAAATTAAAAGATTCAAAGTATCTCGTTAGTCATTACATAAGATGCAGGAATTTAAACTGAACACACTGTATATATAATGAGACAAAATCTTGCCAAGAATCTTTCTATCGAGTAATTTACATTTAGATAACGTAAATATAAGAAATATATACATTAGATGAAAGTATTTGAAATTTTCCATTGTTAAAGTTTCAAACACAGAAATTCCTAAAAAAAAACATAATAAAGAAAACTCAAAAAAAACTAAGAACAAACGAGATGATTAATTATATCTTATACAGCTTCACTTGATTTCCAGTCTAATGAAAAAGCAACAATAATTAATTCAGTCTTTTCCAGTTCTTATTACATTCATATAAAGGCTATTTTTCTTTGGACAAATTATTCGTTAAGGGAATATTGGGGTTGTATCCTGAGTATATAAGGACGGGGTTGCAGGGTTCCTGGTCATTCCAGAAGTTGGTCAACAAGATGGCAAGTCTCAGACGTCTGATGAAGAAGGCAGCGCTCTATCTGTTGTTCGCCTTTGCAAACCTGATCGCAGTCTCCGAAGGTCAACTAACTTTTTCCTCTGGTTGGGGCAAGAGGTCCCAGGATGATGAAATAGCCATCGACCTCGAAGATCAGCTCCAATAAACTCCAAACACACGGATCACGCATGTAAGTTTAGAAACTTTGAAATATGTTTGATTTAATTTTAATATTGATTAAGCAAATCTTTTTCTTATGGTACCAGTAACTTGTATTCTATTTAGTATGATGTAGTATTTTTGTTATATTTTTTGTCAACTTTGCTTAAGAGGGAGATTTGTCTACCCATAAGTGCATAAATAGTTTGCAAACGATTAATATACATACATATTCCTAATAATCAATATATACATAGTATCTCCCTTAGTAATGATAATTATATACAGGGTGACTGGTGAATTACTATCAATATTTAAGGAGAATACTCGGTACATGATTCTCATTCGAATTATGTAAAAAAAATAGGCACTTAATTTTTGACAAAATTTCCGTATAAATAAATAAAGTGTTGACACGTTCCAAGTGTTCCAAGTGTGGACGCGTGCGGCGGCGTGCTGATACAACACCACGCCGCCGCACGCGTATGTGTGTGTGAGTGTATACCTAATCTGTAGGGTGTTCACGCGATGCGTAATTAATTACATAACTTTTGGTTAACTTTACTTAGAAGTTTATTAATATTTATGTTATATTAATTTTTATTTTGTCATATATGATCGTCAAATATCACGTCCTCAAGTATCGATAGTAATTCACCAGTCACCCTGTATAACTACAACTAGGGTAGTATAACGTCTAAATCATATAATTATTGCAGTAATTATGAGTTAAATTTATTATTTAATGCTTCTCAGCTACTTAGCATTAATATCTTTTATTTATTTTACAGTAAAACAAATGTCTTCTTAGATTTTCTATTTTCTTTGCGGATTTTTGTTACGAGGGACTTCAATATGAACGTATATGGAACAATATTGTTAAAATATGTCTAAAGATCAACAACTGGATTAAACCACGATGATGCAACGCTTCTTCATATTTATTTATTTATTGCAAATAAATTTTATTGAATTGTATTGTATGTTTTTTTAATCGTATCATAGTTTATTTTCCCTGTTTTTTTTTTTGTATAGTTATACTTATGTCTTTGAGTAAATTCGATAAGCTAATATATCCAATATACATATATCATTCTAGCTGGTGGTTTCTAAATACATTAGAAGTAAAATCAATTATTATAATCTTTACTTTTTTGATAAATCTCCATCTCCTATTTTTTATGAGATTTTTAATGTAATTTATATGTACACTAAATAATTTAATATTGTGGTTGTCTTCCGGTGTAAGATTATTTTAATTTGCATTTTCTTTTTTCGGTCTAACCTTGTTTCTTAAAAAATAATAATAATATAGTTTAATATTTAATGTACACATATTATCTATCTCAAATTTTCAACTCGAGTTTTGATATTTGTCCAACAAGGTATTCAAAGAAAACGATATATTAAGATGGGTATAATTTTATTAAAATCCCTTTCCGACATTTCTTATTACAACTGTCCTTTAAATATATGTGAGAATTAATATAGTGAGTGTGTTTAGTAGAAAATTATATGATGGCAACACCGAAACATTCCGTATAGAAACAAACTAAATGCCCACGACCTCCAATAATTGACCCGACACCTACCAATGATGTATAAAGTGTTGCCAAAACGTGAATACCTGAAAAATCACAGCCCAAGAATATCTATAGGACACTAAACCTCGTCCACTACGCCGGGCTAATTCCGAAAAAATCGGTTTTTATACAAAATTAAAATAGCATCCGAGCTGTCAAATGAATTTGATTCTTAACATAGTGATGCTCGAACTAATTCAATTCGTGTTTATAAAAAACTAGCGTCACTGAAAAAAAGGGACGGAAAGAGAAAAATGAGCGAGATGGCGAACGAAAAATTTTTCATAAAATTGTTGATACTTTTCATATATTAATATATTATTATATCGAACACAGCGATAGTGATATATTACATTGAAATATGTACCTACTACGTAACAGCATGATTGTTTTACAGACGACTAACTAGCATTCGACAATACATAACATTACATAGTTTATATTAAGTTCATCGTGGTTAATATCGTAATATATAATTCCTATATATTAAGAGTATTTAATAAACATTACTTGATACTTGAAGTACCACTGGGAGCCAACAAAGAATAATGATGTTATTCTTTATTGGTGTGTAGCGACTTAAGTGCGACGACCGACTCGGTTAATGTTTAAGTCATCGGCATCGGAACTATTCCAACATAACATAACGAAGAATGGAAAGAGAAGGAGACAGAAGAAATAAACCAGCGGGGAAGAGACTCGAAGACCTTGATCCGTGTTACATCAGAATCGAGCCGAAATCTCCTGAGATGACGATTATACAACGAGACGACTTTCCGTCGATATCCCGTTCAAAGATCGGACAACGGGAGCCCGAGGGAAAAACGTCACCAAATAAAAGAACATAAACAGCACACAGAAACTATTTACAATATAGAAGCGGCCGGCACCCGAGTCGAATTTGGGTCGACGCTGACGAAAGACTGAATATGAACCCAAAGTAGACGAGTCTTGGGGGAGGTTGATGCTGCAGCGGACTTATGATGTCCTGGAGCACTGACGGCCAGACCTCGTGCCTTTCGGGGCGGCACAGCACTCTCGGCTACCATAAGATGTGTGCCTGAACTCTGCGACCACACTTGTCTACCCTGTGGTCGTAAAATAGAAACACACGGCCGTAACACCAACCAAAGGGAACGCGAAACATCATAGACAACTACGAAGACTTAAACAATCACCGATGATCTGGCGTTTAATATTATGCCAAATCCGCTAAAACTTATACTATATTTATAAAAATCAGCCGACGCACTTAACTATGACTAGTATTTACAATTTGTTCATCCATCATGAAACTTTTGCCGGACACAACTTTGGCTGTCTTCTCATCCATTTCCCGACACTGTTCGCTGAGCCCCAGCGCACCAATATAAGTGAAAACAACTAAGGAAAATGCAACGAACAAATCAAAATCACGACTCACCATAAACACAAAACTTACGGAAATCAGGATAAAGTACGCAACACATACAATTAAAATATTAATCAACATAGGGTAATACCAAATAATAGCCTCTACTCCAATGGCAAAACAAAATTAAAAGGCTGAATGGAGGAAAATAACATAACTAACTCGACTGCAAATGAATATACAACGCCATCCGTACCCATTCTGTAGATACACGAGTAACTACATGAAATGAATTAGAAGATAGCTGCCGCGTGTTACTTAACTTCCCGCATAGAACACATTCCCTGGTCTCTTGTTAAGTCGATACTCGACGCTCATACAAGAGGGTGGTGTCCAACCAGGCGGGCCGGAGCCCTACCACCGTCGGGTTTAGTCGCCTCTTACGACACCCTGCTCTCCCGACATGGGATTGGGGAACGTATTCTGCTCCGCCCCAATACGGAGACCAAAATCATTATTGTGACCGTTCTGATCTGATATTGTGACATATTTTTTATGACAGAAGGGCCAAACCAGCAGACAGCCCACCTAATCGAGGTGGTACCATTGCCCAGGGACTACCGCAAAAGTATTTTGCTGATGCGTTGCAACCCTTGATTAGGGAAGAAAGGAAAAGATGGGAACAGAAAGGGATTTACAGTATAAATGAACTTCTATAATTTAAACAGATTATATCGATAAATTCTGTGTATGTTTTGGATGTACATTGAAAGTATGAATTAGGTTATAGGGACGATATGAACAGATCCATTAAAGGAACCAAAAACGGTGAATTGAAAGTAATTCGGAATTTCTTGTTAGGTCTCCATATTTAGCTAGTAATAGTTAATATCTTAAGGTAGGTAATCTAGGCAGATCCTGGCTAAAGCTGGGAGGTTGCCAGGAAGAATTTAATATCTTAAGGTTGTTATAGTTCACGTATTAACCGCCGCAGGACAGTGTAGGTATTTTGAAAACTTTAGACAATAGATTCCTAAACCTGTCCGCGGAAAGTCCGTTAAATAACGATACCAACTTACAAATATCCATCAATATTTTGTGATTTTTGTTATTTTTTACAAGTATTACAGCCACATGCGCCTCCTACGGTTGTAATTAAAACAATCATGCTGTAATCATTTATAAGTGAGACAGTGAGCCTGTTTAGTAAACCTTACACTAGTTGGCTGTACAGTGAGCGACACAGGTGTAGAGTAGGTTGTTATATACATCAGATACCTACTTATTACAGTACCTTTTTCAAAGATGTATCGGAATTTCGTCAACTATAGTTCCAAAAATCCGTATTGCTTCACAAGTTGAAAAAGATACCGTCTAAGACTACGTATAAATACTTTTAGTGGGTAATAAATTCATTTAAATATTAGGTAATTACCCTCTCTAGTTACGACAACTGTCTAGAACTAACACTAAAAGTTGGAACATGAACTCTATTCTCTAAGAGATAAGGTCCAAATACTGTGACTTAACTAATTGTAAACATGTATGTACACAAAATCGATCCTTATTATAAAAGGCATTAGGATCAATATATCATGGGTATATACGTCTATGTGATTCATACAACCTTACATTTACCACAGATTATATTGTACGCTACTGACAACTGACGTTTGACAGCGAAAAGTTGCGAATACCTGTGATTGTTGTTGGAAAAAAACTTTAAGGTAACTTAATTGAAATTGTACTAAATATAACGAGTTTTAACTAACTAGAGCACCGAATTTGTTTAAATCAACATAAAAATCGAAACTGAGTTTTCATTTCTACGGACAAGTATTCGCAGCTTTTCGTTTTTTATTTACTGACAGTCTTAATCTATTGTGCTATTATTTGCTATGTTAAACTACACAACACGACGCCGTCGGCGATCGATCGGGTAAAATTATCCAAAATTTCCATTATTTTATATTAGAATGTTCGTTTTTTTACAATGAATCAATGATTATCGCCGCGACGCTCCCGTGCATGTCACTCGGTGCCCCGACCATAGACACTTTCACCAGCTAGCAGTATGAAGGTGCAGTCTGTGTCTCGAAAACTAACTATAGTCTATGTCTAACTGAGATGGCGCACTACAACAGGTCAGCTGTAATGAGAAAGTCTTCAACGTCACAGGATAAAATAATCGGGGGGGGGAAATAAATGATAACAAGGGTTTTATTAGGATAACGAAGACCGGGTCAGTGACTGATTCAAAAAGGTTCATTCAAAGGACAATCGGGTCGCTGACTCTCGTAGGCTAAATAAGCGAGCGCGGCCAGCGGGAGCGCCAGTCAGACGCGGGCGGCCGCGGGGGGCGGACGTCAGAGGCGTCGCTGGCGGCGCGGCGCGGGCCGGGGCAGCAGGCACCACGCGTACACCAGCGCGAACAGCACGTACGGCGCCAGCACCGCGACCACCAGCAGCACCGTGTCCGCCCCGCTCGCGCTCCACCCGGAGAATCACTTCTCTTCGTCCTCGTCACGGAACAAGTACGTGGACCTGGGGAACGACCATAATATATATAGCTTGGAGCGAGAGAAGTCTCCCAGGACATATAATAATATTATGAAGATTAAATTGCCTGTTATTAATAAAAAAAACCCCTAAATAAAACTAATATTTTTCTTCACAGACGAGAGGTGATCATCGTTGCTGCGAGGCAACCGAAACGTCGGAATTATGTAGTGCAAACAATAAAATACTTTATAGTGGATAACTCCGATAAATATTAGTTTCATTTCAATGAATACTGACGTAAGTCTTAGATCTCTTACTCTTCACTCTTACAAAAAGACCAAATCTAACAACTTGAAATCTCAATTAAAACCGGTTAGTGTATGATATTAAGATATACCCACCAGTAGGCGAGGTTGAAGAGCGCGAACACCAACGGGAAGGTGATGCGTGAGATCACATCGATGCGCTTGGAGCGCGTCGGGAACTTGGACATCCAGAGGCGGCAGCAGTTCTTGGGCTTGCTCTTGATGTGTATCTCACACTGACGCATCTTGTCACCGGCACCGCGCATCAACGGCTTCTGACAGTTGTAGGCACGTCAGGGGCGACGGACTTGGGACTTGGACTCATATACTAACGTGAAAGGACGTGTGTGTGTGTGTGTGTGTGTGTGTGTGTGTGTGTGTGGAGGAGTTTTTTTGGGCTATTTGTCTGGTACTACTAAATAGATTACTGTTACATAGGTACCTATACGTATAAATATATATAGTTTAGACGTGGCTGCGACCACGCATATATATCTTTGTGATAGTCGTCCAATAAAGCAGTGCGTTGTTAGCTAGCGATCGTTTCATTTGCCCGTACCCTATCTGCGTATTTAACTTAACGTAACTTGTCATCTCGTGTTGTGTAAATATGTGATAGGCATATCGACTATTTGTCTGGTAATAAACAGACTCCATAACAATATATGTGTGGTTTATAGGTATATATTCATGTAGTGTAAGTTTAATTAGATTATGTTGTGTATTAATCGTATTCGGAGTAAGAATCACAAAATCAGATAATCAAAAATCATTTAAAACCTACGGAACATCTACTAAATAAAAATCCAACCAAATCAATAGACCTAAACATTCTGTTCATGCTATGCTACGCTAGTTTCAAATTAACTTCATATTCAAAGTCTCAGTGTTGGATCTCACTCACCATAGCGAAGGTCGTGTTACTGTCTGTGTCCAAGAGGTCTGACGCTGCGTCCATGCTGGCGGCCGCTTCCATCTCCCGTCTCGTTTTCTTCATATTCTCTCTGTGCATGTCAGAGCGAGACGCATAGTTGACCAGCGCGAACTCCAATAGAGCTCCGAACACAAAGGTCAGACATACCCCCGTCCATACATCGATGGCCTTCGTGTATGAGACGGGGGGGAGGGACGCGTTGATACCAGATGACTGAGTGGCCATCGTCAGTAGGGTTGTCACTCCTGGTGGTGATATTTTTGAATTAGAAGTAGTATCTAGCAGTTTTATTAGGGTTGTCACTCCCGGTGGCTGGATTTCGTAATTACAAGTTGGATAGTAGAGTTATGAGGTTGTTGATGAGTAAATATATTAGTGCCAACAGTATAAAATAATCTAGTAAGAAATCAAAATACATTCAAAGTAAGTAAAATTGCAAAATATTGTAAATTAAGATCTCAAATGATAACCAACTTTGGCTTTAACAGGTCGTATATTGGTATGTAAAGTTTCTTTCATTTTAGTGAAAAGAAACATTAAAAAGGTTTTCATATTTCAATAAGATTTCTCACCAAGGGACACTCTTGCGGGAACAGCTCCCTGGTCTAACCAGAAGGACACCCAGGACACTATGACCAGCATGCAGCAGGGAATGTAGATCTGGATGAGGTAGTAACTGAACTCTCTCTTGAACAGCAGGTCCACCTTCAAACAGCTGTATTCACCTGGAAAAAGAGTTATGGATGAAGAACACTAAAAATACTTCAAAATAACGATTGATTTATATAAGAAATCGTTATCGGCCTATCAGAGCCCACTGCTGAGCTGCCTCTTCTCAAATGGAGAAGGTTTGAGCATTAATTACCACGTTAACTCAAGTCGGGTTGACGATTTCAAACTTATAATTTGTAATTATAAATCCAAGTTTCCTCATAATGTTTTCCTTCATCTGTCAGTGGTGGCTAAATACTCTTAGAAAGTACATATGACTCGAAAAAATCACTTTGGTTTTCCACAGATTGAACACGCGCCTTCGTGCACGAGAGGCGGGCCTTTAACCTCTAGACCACTGACTTCAAATAAGAAATAACGTTTTTGTTTCTCTCTTAGAAACTCGTTCAGTAGAATCCAAAGTTGTTATACAATCTCTTCTTTCTGGCAATTCCCCAGCTTTAGCCAGGGTCTGTTTTATAATGTCTGATCTAATTCCTACGTAATATCTGTATTTTCCAGTTCATATGCTCGTAATAGAGCCGCGACTGTTCCATTTCGCTGGGAACAATGCACCTGTCATGATTCCCATTCACAGTCCGTCACGTTGTACGTCAGTGGGGCCGCGTAATTATTTCGGTGTTAGCGTATTTCTGTACACAAATCGTTCAGCCGTTTGGTAATACTTGTAGTGTTCTCGAAAACTAGGTCGTACTTCGTTATGAAATTTAGAAGGTTGCTCGGAAATTAAAAAACATATCTCCAAAGCTATTTTAAATTTTATACCAGACAATGGTAGTGTAACTGTGAAATTTGGAATGATGCTTTAGATTACTTAAAATTTAAAAATATTATACTCCGTTCGACTATAGCTCTCCGCCCAAGAAATATTATTTGAAAGTGTATTTGAAATTAAGTTCAATGTACAGTTTCAGATTAATTTTTTAATGTTCAGCGTTACTTCCAGTTATATCCTACAAAATGTCTGAAGCCAGTATTTATAGTTTACAAATACAATCATACTTAAATGTTGCATACAAAATTACATAATTCAGTATTATTATTAATTATGATCAGTCATAAAAATAATTCTAATTATTATATTATACTATAGCACGTCATAGATGGCACTACTTGTACTATAAATAAGACTATAAAAAGATTGTATAGTATTAAAATGTTACCGGTATTAGTCTTGCTATTGCAGTAATCTGTGAGGAACTTCTCCAAAGTAAATCTAGGCAGGTGTAAGTTCTTGACAACCTGCACGGGGTCACCTTCCTTCCACAGGAACACCAAGTCATCAGTTGTCCAGCCGTCTAAGGACATTTGATACATTAATAATTATCGCTAATAACCTTTGACCTGTAATGACCTTTGGATTCCATTTCCAACAAGGATATTTATAGATTTGGAAATCACGTAACATTCCTGCAGAATAAAAGATATTGGTTTCCAGTGTATGTATGTTTAAAATACGTTAACGCTCTTACTCAACTGAAGGCGTTGTTTACGTGAGATGTTAAAAATATTACATTAAAAGTTTATTTAAAGAATTAATGAATTATAACTACACGCGATTTATATTGACTGAAGGTTAAAACGTATGGGTTAATAGTTTATGGTCGATTCATATCTATAATGGATATTCAATAATGGGTAGTCATTTGTATAAAAATATTCTATTAGCAGAGTGAAATGCTTTTAAGTTACAATTATTTTTGATGTTAAACTACTTTACCCTTGACTTGGGAGTAAGCTGGTGAATGCGTTACGAAAAGTGTGATCGGGTGAGGCGAACGAAAGTGAAATAGAGATATGAGTAAGTGAAGATATTATATACTTAATTGTAATATGAATCAATACTCACAACTGGCCATTCTCAGTGAACATGTCTGTTTATCCAACGGATATAGTTTAAGGTTCATCGGGCATGATAAAGTGAGAGAGATACGGATGCTGTATAACACGTTTCCGTTGGGGAAGATCCTGATGTACACGTTGGGCATGATGATGTTGTGGAAATGACCCTCCTTCTCATTGGAGAAGAACAGATCAGGCATCCAAACCCTGTTTGCTTCCGTGAGCGTCAAGTACTTGAGACGATCTATAGAAAACAATTGGATAACAAAATTAAGAATAAATTATTAAGATTTTGATAGAATAAAACTAATTAGATCTAATTTTGGCGAATTTTATTCATTTATATGAAACTAATATTTTTCGGAGATGTGAATGACATCACGGTTACTGTAAAGTAAACGAAACGTCGGGAGTATATAGTTTTTTTTTTACAAAAATAAAGTGGAGAAGTATGTCCGAAAAATATTATTTTCATTTAAATGAAAACTAATTTTTCAAATCAATTCAATGTTTTTATTACTTTTTAACTAATTTAACCAGAATTTGAGACAATTTTCAAATCGCGATAATAACAAAATCTCTGTAATCTAAATGTGTATACATAGTTTTTTTCTTACAAGTTGAATACGTAACCAATATATATCATTCATAAATCTTCTCGAAAAACTCGTAACTATCCGTACGTAGTTATCAATGGAAACTTATACTAACCTACTCAGATTTAAGTACAAATAAAAATTAATTTAATTTATCGTTCTTTATTAATAAAATCACTGTTTACTCACCCCCTAAATTATTAAACTTCAATCTCTCATCTAACCATTGTTCTCTGAATGTCAATTGGACAGAGTATTCCTAGAAAATTTACAAAAAAAATTAATTTTACGTTCATATATCTATATTTAATAAGTGGATGTGATCAAAAATGTTTTATTTCTATAATTCAATTGATCAATCCCAGTAGTAACAATCTATCATCATTTTAACCCTATTGGCTATACTTTTCAATTCTAAAAGCTTTATGAGACTGCTTATACAATTTTCATTAATAATTGTCGTGATTGAGTGACTCAGACAACACAAGTCTACAACTTGCTCGTTATATATATCAAAAAAATTTTGGTGCCAGTGAACGCGGGTGCATTTCATCATGTTCAAGTTTTCACCGATTCGTTATAAAATGATTGATGTCGAAGGTTCAATATACTTTAGACCATCAAATTATTTAAAAAATAAACCGTCGACATCAAAGGAGCAAGTCAAATGAATTATCGTAACATTTAAAGCGGCTAGAATACACGAAATAATAACATGCCTAAGTTAGCTTTTGGTTAAAAAACAATAATATTAATTATCTTAAATTTCCTTTGGATACATAAACTTGTTGGCAGTTTCATACTTACTACATACTAATCCTTATTAAATTGATATTGACGCATTGACCAATGACTTAAACATAAAAACTTTTAAACTTTTGTTTTGTTTACGAAAAAACTAAAAAAAATTTTTTTATTGAGATCATAAAATTCAATAAAAATAAATCTTCATTATAATCCATAGATACATATACAAAATTTTGTTACTTTAATAAATTTAACATATATATAAAATTATGAAAATCCTGACAATATATACTTATAGTAATAATTGCTTCAAGTAAACAGGACAGTGATTGATGGCTACAAAATCATCACAGGTCACTCATCACTTTGGACATGAGCCAACACTTATTGACTTGATATAAAGAAACTAATGTCCATATATTAAAAGATAAAATTACGATTCAAATATGTATAACATATGTATTATATTTATATTGAAACAATAGTGAAATTAAATTAACAAAAATTTGCTGACTTTCATCATATATTATGATATGTAAATATATATTTTTTGTATTTTTTATGGGTATCAAAAACGAGTGCTATTACTTCAAATATACCCAAAAGCTAACTCATAATAAATATATATATCGATATAAAAAATAACATTTAAAAACGTGTGTTGTTATTTACAAATTTTATATTCATGCACAGGCCGTATGTATATGAATTATTTTATTTACATTTATGGTATTATATAGTTTATGGTTTTCTATTTATTTAAGTAAGGAGGTTTTATATCGATATAATAGTCTGTACACCATGCCGTGCTTCCAAACTAGGACTGTCAAAGCGCATTTAATTCGAACTCACCGTAATGTAATATTCGTCGATGGAATATTTATACCCATGCAGCTTTAAAGACCAGTTAACTAGGACTACAACACGATATAACTAGCTTCGGGGGCGAGGGTCACATATTGCGGTCGGGTGGGCAACCACCGATCAGAAGCACGTAGGCGAGTGCGGACGCGACGATAGTACCCGATACAAAATAACTTTACACAACACAAATTCACATGAACAAGACAATATGTCACAGTCAAGGTACGACCAAAATAGTTTTTATATATCATATATATAAAATATATGCATGACATCCATGATTAAGAAGCGTGATGAAAAATAAAAATGATTATGATGTAGATGGTGCGGTCCGCGTCGACTAGGTAACTCCTAGTTCTTAAGCGTGGTATACTGTCTTTTCTAATTTCGGCGTGATATACCGAAGCGTTCGGTCCAGTGCTAACTACTATGCCAATGTTCATCAAGTGTCAATCGTGAATACCCCGTGCCCTCTATGTAGAAAAATAATAATAAATAATACAAAACAAATAATAATTTTATGGAAATTTTTGGATGTTATTATAATATTGGATACACGCGGCACCGCACCGCTTCACACACAGGGATTGGAGGTATGCAAATCATTCGAAATAAATATAAACACAAAATAATAATAAAAAAAAAATAAAACGAACAAACCAAAAACACAAACATACCCAAATACGATTACGATAGCTTGAGAATGTTTAGCACAGTGCATCATTGCCAGATATCCAATTTATGATCAATTTTATTATAAACAAAGATCCTTTAGCATCAAAACTCCTCGCCAAGTTACACATATTGATAGTGGGACTGTTCTACACACACAACACACCCTGTATATACGGATACTTTGTTTATCAATAAAAGTGTCATCTATACATGTTTCTGGTTAATTGGTTATGTGCAACCACTCACCATTTTGTAATCATCTATTTTGCTGATGGATCTGAGGTACAGGTTGACGCGAACTAACGTTGGCGCATCGCCTTTATGAGGAAAAAACACGCATTTAAAACAGAAGTTAAACCGCCTGCATTAATAAACCACCCAGACATTAACCTGTTATGATATTTGACACGCAAAATAAAGAGAAAACAACAAAAAAAAAATAATGTTAAATGTTACATCTAATGAGATGGAAACATAATTATGTCCATTTCATTAAAAGCCGTCATCAGCCTAAAGCACCAATCACCCTGTGAGAAGACAGTTAGAAGGTCGAGAAGAATTAAACGGCAGAGATGAACCGGTATAAAATATCGAAAAAAATAATCCATTTTGAATTTGAAATGAAAAAACGCGCGTCTAAAAACGATTTTGGTCGTCAACACCAAAGGAAAGAAGATTTTTTTGTAAAAAATAAATAAATATAATAAAAATAATAATAATAATAAGGTTACATTTGTTCTGGTAAGTCTCTCCAAACGGAGCGAGTTCCCAATTCATTTGACTTGTTTGTTTTCGTATCGTAACTTTATAAAACAAATTCTTTACATTCTTATTCTATATGCATGGCCCAGTCGGTGGTGACTTACCATTGTGACGTCATCGATTTTTGATATACTTCGGACAAATATATTGACGCTGACTACGGCTGGCCCATCTAAGTACCAAGCAAAATATACTGTTGATATATCATTACAAAAAAAAAGAGAACTAAACCCTAGTGGAGCATACGTGTCAGTCACGGTGCCTTCTGTGTACCACACCACTAAATACTCACCTGCCGCCTGAAATATACAATACGCACCTACATCGATGACAGATGATGGAACGAAATAAAACATTATCGAAAAAAACAACACAACAGAAATAAAAGGGGAGCGAAAATAATAATAACAGCTTGTTTATAGGAATTTGTGTTAGTGTTGGCTCTGGATTGTAAAAAGGGTTGCCATTATGAAAATTAATGTAATATAATTCTGGAAATAGCTGTGAATGTTAACAAGATCCTTGAAATTTCTGTACTGTGAAAGTCGCCAAGTCTGTTACATCTTTAAATTCTAATGCAAATTTGCAAGGTCGTGATCAAAATAAACATAAAATGACTCCTTCCTCAATCAACATAAGCAAAACAGATGAAGAAAAACAAAACAATTATGTTGTAAAATGTCCTTTCATTGCTTGTATTCATTTCGTAAACATATAAAACCTTATTTCTCTATATTTCCGTCCTTGGACAAAATCTGTAAGCCCCGAGTTTTTTGACAGACGTATTTGCATACTAATTATAATATATTTAACATGTACAAATATAAATATATAAAAATATGTCGTGGTTGGAATCACACGATCTGTAATTGTTATAATCGCGTGCTAAAACACGTACATCGATTTTTTTAAATCGTTATAGACATTTAAATAGAATAAAGTACTTTAGTAGTTTTTTTTTAAATAGAAATCACGCTCACGCCCGCACTCGTGCGGCATTTAATTTGATTTTCTGTAATACATTATTCCACCGGGCCGTAATATGAATTTTGAGATCCGACTTCCGAGACATATCCAAGGAGTTTTATAGTTATTCCTCTTTGGTATGTCAAGAAAGCCGTCAACACTTAAATCACGTCCAGGCATTGGGGGAAAAAAATAAAAGACACAGGATTCCTACGGGTTTTCCCTTACCACAGAGTTACTAATATTAGCAATTAATATGATAAAGTCGACGGGATTCAACTTATTTTATCTAATTAAATTATAAAATGTTACCTAAACTTTGTGTTTATTGTAAATATATCCATATAAGTATGTGATGTTGACAATTAATAACACGTAATTCAAGTTAATTGGGATGTACGTTACGTGAAAAGTAGATGCCGTTGACGTAATCACCAGTATTGATAACAATTCCATGGTAAGGGTCGAAGCGGTTCCACCACGCTTTGCACAATACACCGGATCAAAGAAAATATTTCTTCAATATTAACACAAACATTTAATAATCACTCAGTGACATTTAAACGTCATTTGAGCGTCGTTTTAAACGTCAGTTGAGCGTGGTGATTGTCCAAAGCGTCAAAGCTATGCGTCCGTTATAGATAACCTATTCTTTAACTACTAACCATCTTAATGTCGCTTATAGTTGTTATACTTCTGACGAACAGGTTAATATTAACTATTGCCGGTCCATCTGTCGAGAGAGGTCAAAGTACCTTAACACTGTACCAGGATATAACACAGATACTAGAGAGACTCAAAGGCCAAATGTATCAGTTTCCGAACGTAGTCGTAAAACAATAATGAAGAATATCCTTATATATTTATATATACTTATAATAAATAACTATTAATTTTATTTTACATATATTTATATTAATAAATATTAAAAAAATATAGAATAAAAAACACAGATGATATTTGATACACATCCTAGTTGCGATGACGAAAAATTTCATATTTTAGATGATTAAAAAAATACGTTAATTACCTTATTGCCTCTGAAATATTTACTATAAATCTGTAAAATTAAATTATCCATATATTGAGTTTTAAATCTCATTCCAACTGAAGACAATGTGGGTAGACTGTAACACTGCTTTACGTGAGCAATTTTTTACTTAACTATTAATAGCACCGTGATAGTCATGAGCACAATTGGTATATTGACTTCCGGTAACCAATATAAATAATAGTTATATTTAATAACAAACGTCTGAAAACTAGGAAATACAAATATTCTTAAGCAGTTAATTGCTTTAGTAAGATTTTTATGTACACGACATTTTTTTATTTGATTAAATTGATTTCTAATTTACACCAAATATATGTATTGTTTTTTATCGTTCGTTGGCAGAGCGGTAGCATCTAAATATAAGATATCAATAGAAGCTGTGCCTCTTCTTAAAATACGTCTTATATCTAACTTACAAGGAGTCAGGTGATAGCAAAAAATTCCACATACCAGTGCCGTTGATTCCTGAAGGTCTGATGCGGGCGTCGTATCTCCCCGGACCTAGGATTTGATCCAGAATTTGTTTCTCCTTCTCTCTGAAGTTTATCTTCCCGTTCATACATCTGCCGTAGAGATTTAATTTAGAAACTTCTAGAACAAAACTAGTAGGGACCATACCATAGTCATCAAAGAATTTTCACCGTAGTATTTGATAGTCCAAAATCCTACTAATATTATAATTGCGAAAATTTGTGAGTATGTGTGTATGTTTGTTACTTCTTCACGCTCAAACGGCTGAACCGATTTTGATAAAATTTTGTATACAGGAAGCTGACGTCCAGGAATAACATATAGGCTACTTTACATCCCGGAAGTCCCGTAAATCCGCGGGTAATATCTCGGGGCGCAGCTAGTATTTATATAATTTGGAAAACTGAAAAAAATACTGGCACTTCTTATACGATGTATTCTTCAAGAATAATAAATCAGTAGACGCTGCAGTAAGAAAAATAGTACATCTAAATAAAAAGTTATTTATGTTTTGCGCGCATTCCTCAAATAAAATACGTATATTAAAATTGCTATTACTAATAATAGGTGTATGGAATTTGTGGACGGGCACTTAAAATTTAGGATGCCTAAAATCTTTATTATGCAAAAGTATTTCACAATAGAATTAATAGATATTATTGTCAAATATTTTGACATCGTTTTCTATAGGACGGCATAACTAAAACATTGGAATAACAAGAACATAATCACGCTAATAAATAAATAAGAATATAATCATTCAGATTACAGATAAAACTTTTCATTTGTAAATTTAGTTTCTGGCCAGAAAATAAAAGGCTTATTAGGACATAATTTATATAGTAACTTAAGCTGTGTACATAAAATTTTGTAATATAAAGAATAATACGCATCTAATATATAAAAAGTAAAATAAAAATTTTAAATCATCTTCATGATTTTACAAAGACCAGGTACGTGAGAAATAATCACATCTAAAACTGCTATAATATATTATAGGTAAAATTAAAATTATTTTCTCATATTGTCTATGGATTTTTTTTTCCAAAATATTGAATTAATAATACTCAAATACCCTTTAAATATTATATACTAATTATGAAGATTGATTGTTATTTTAATATCAATTGATACATAATAAATTAATTGTAACAATTTATTACAAAAAAAATGTAATGGAGTTTTTATTAGGTAAAGTATTCATAATTTATTAACAATTTTATGATATTAATTTATTGATGAAATATTTTGACGTTTACAAATGAAAATGAACTTCTTTAACGATAAAAGCTGTCAATCATTCTTGCATTAAATTCATAGTTTTTTATACATAATAAAAAAATGACATTTAAATTTAAAAAAACTGATACAGAAATTTTATTATTGAGATTTTAAGTTAAAGAAGAATACAAAAAAAAAAACAAGGATTCTAAGATAAAAGCATATTGCTATATCAAATTCATATTGTTAAAACAACTAGCGTGAATCTTTACTGAGAGTAACGCAGACCGGGCATCAAGCCAAGTAATGTGTGTGTAACAGAAGTCATTGTAAAATCGTTAATGTCTGACACTCTTCATGTTGTGATAATAATCTAGTAGTTATTTCAAAAAGATATCTTTATTAAAATCTACTAACTAACTTTCCGCCCGCAGCTTCGCCCGCGTGGAGTTCGGTTATATCTCGTTTCCAAGAGAACCTTTCAAAAGTCTGAGATAAAAACTGTGTTATGTTCTTTCTCAAGGTCAATTCTATGTCTGTATCAAATTTCATGAAAATCAGTTCAGTGGTTTAGGCGTGAAAGCGTAACAGTTAGACAGACGGACAGAGTTACTTTCGCATTTATAATATTAGTAGAGATGTTGGTAATTTCAGTGATCGTGAGTCAGTAAAATGATTTTAAAGGAAGTCTCTATGCCAAACTATTCTAGTTTTATCTTTTAAGCAAACGTAACAATAATATTTTATCTTGTGTACTGAAGAATATATGTATGGACTTTCGAAATATATTTTATAGAACATAAAAATCAGTATAATTTAAATAAAAAAAATTATATATACCTTATTGTTTGAGTTGCCCTAATAATATATTTTTTCTTGCTAAGATTTTGTTTTGTTAAGTTTAATTATATACAGGGTGACTGGTGAATTACTATCAATATTTAAGGAGAATCACATGATATTCGAATTTAAAAAAAATATTAATTTTTTTTGACAAAATTTCCGTATAAATAAATAAAGTGTTGACACGTCCAAGTCCTATGTGGACGCGTGCGGCGGCGTGCTGAACAACACTACGTTTTTTTGAGTGTGAGTGTATACTAATCTGATTTCGTGCGTAATTAATTACACAACTTTTGTTAACTTTACTTAGAAGTTTAATAATATTTATGTTATATTAATTTTTATTTTGTCATATATGATCGTCAAATATCACGTCCTCAAGTATCGATAGTAATTCACCAGTCACCCTGTATATATGTCGTCATGATTATAAAGTATTTTTATGTTAATGTCTTTATTTATGTTTATTTAATTACATCGCCTGGTATTTTTGGCTATCTATCACATGTCGTTTTTATTACGTGTTATCCTTAGAACTAGCTAGTTTCTCCGTACTACATAAATCTTCGTAAACTGTAGTATCGACGTAAATTAATACGAAACTTCAACTACGAAGTAAATTTGTAAAATACTATTTACTTACTTACAGTTTATTATGCTTGCTATTGATTTTTACTTATTTCCAAATATTAATTTAAGGTTTATAACGTTATTTCAATCGTATAAATAAAATTTTTTTATAATAAATAAATTCGATTCAATTTTTATTTTTGTATTTTGTTTTTATGTTATTAAAAAAAATTTAGGAAAGTTTTGAGAGAGTGAAAAGATCTTACGCCATTGTGAATATTTCTAGAAACAAATGAATTTCTCGAATCGGGAATAGATATTTAACTAAAAAAATATTTTTCCTCTACTTTCATATCTTTTTGAAGGAGAGATACACAGATTTGTTCAGAATTTAACAAATATTATAAGCATAGTATAAATAGTTTCGAAAAACAAGATTTATTTTTACATATAAATACAAATAATCCGTATCCTTGGGATTTTGTAGGAGGTACATATACCAACAACGCGACAATTCAATATTTTACTGTAATCCTTTACCTTAGCCCGAGTAGTGTTGTCAAATAATTATGACATATTTTCCGATTTCAATTTTATATGACTGTGAAACAACATTTAATGTGTATTTTGAACCATTTGTTTTTTATTTATTTAATTTTATAAGTACCGAAAACGATGAATTAATGTTATTACCCAAATGTTACTTTTATCTATGAGAAATAATTTTCCTTACCCTGAGTTTGAGTCGTTACTAACATACGGTGTGTAATCAGTTTTTTATTAAAAAAATATCGCACATTATAGTATTAATGTAGATTATTGAAAGAGAAACACTGAAACGCTGAGTATGTAGTGTGATAATGCAAACTTAGACAGACAAGAGGAAACTTCTCATCATTCAATGTATTCACCGTGCGGGTGTCGGGTCCATCGTTGCAGAGAGGAGCTTCAACAGTGACTAGGACTTGCGACCCAGGTGTAGGTTTAAGGAGCGTCTATATAACGCGCATTATACGCTCACCTCCACCGTCCAAGCTCCTCTCTCTACCTAACCAAATTTGAAACGAACCTACGTACTAGGGCTGCCTTCGAAGTACGTTTCAAGAAATAATAAGTTTTGGATAGGAACAAGTCTTTTAGTAGGTTATATAGAGATTTAGCCGTTATACCTCTCGCTCCCACTTCTACCGCGTGCAAATCCACGACGAATCTATTCCGAGTGATTTAGTTTGTTACGTTAATTATTACGTAAAGAACAAAAACATTAAACCTCTCATTCTCTCCGTTATAAAAACAACTCATACTAAGCACGTTCTTAATATTAAACTCTTCTAATATATCTCTGTCTGTATATATTTGTTTAACATATATTTCAAACATATATTGTTAAAATTGTCTCCTTTTATTAATGACGGTAATATACTAAAGAGATTTCTTGGCATTGCGTTGTCAGTACGTAAGATTCCAACGTTAAGAAATATTTGAATTCATTTGTCAGGCCAAGCTTATTTGACAATTTGATGTCAAAATATTAAAATCGTTAAAAATTTAAAAGATCCTAATTTTCATGTTACTAATATATAAAGACTTTTAGGTAATTTTCAAAATGAATACATAATTATATTGTTTTGGAATTAATATTATAAATATTATAATTACCCTTCTTAGATGTTCAATGAATCTGTCATGTACCTAATAGGAATCTACGTCAGTAGGCATATTTTATTTTCATATAGGTAAATTAAATTTCTAGTTTCAACACAATGAGTTTTATTATATTTAGCTTGTCTATGGTATACAATCTATTTTTTTTTTATCTTTCACCTAACCATTAATTTATAAGTACTTACATTTATAATATTTGCAAACAATTACCTTGTTAAAAATAACAATTATGTATATGATAGTCACGTTGTTCTTGAAAAGTAACGTACTTCAAGTAATTTTTTTGTTTTGTATTATTCAACCAATATCATACACACGAGTTAAATTCGATTAGTATTACAATAGTATAACTAAACTATTATCTACTTCTTTAATATATATCAATACTTGTACTGGAGGAACAATTCTTTTAAAATTGTATACACATATCTTTCTAGTTGTATACATGTTTGTACAGATTACTAGCTTTCCGCCCGCAGCTTCGCCCTCGTGGAGTTCGGTTATATCGCGTTTCCAAGAGAACCTTTCAAAATTCTGGGATAAAAACTATCCTATGTTCTTTCTCAAGGTGTACTCTATGTCTGTACCAAATTTCATTAAAATCAGTTCAGTTGTTTAGGCGTGAAAGCGTAATAGACAGACAGACAGACAGAGTTACTTTAAAATTTATAACATTTATGGATTGGTTGGTTATTTAAAATATGCCCTTCATCCGTGCAAAGACGTGAATAGTTTCTGCTAGTTTTGTGTAGATTGGAGGAGATATAGATTATTATTGAGGTCAATGTAGGTGTGCTGAGGTCAGGTTGGTACTTACTCTGCGAGGTTTAATATGTAGATTATTAG